TTTTTAAAGTTAATTCTATAGAATCTATAGAAATGTTTGCTTATTTATCTAGAATCAAAATTTATTAAATTTAATAACAGAATTAAATATAAAAGAAATGATTTCTCTAAAAATTCTAAACAAAAATTCTAAAGAAAATTCTTCAATTCCGAGGAAAATGTTTCATAAAATTAAATTTGAAAAATAATTTAAATTGCTTAAAAACAAAATTTTAAGCAATTTGAATAGAATCAAATAATCAGAATGCATGAAATATTTCATAATTAAATTCTAATGCATGTAAAATTGTTAATAATTAAAATGTTCACAAATGTAAATGAATTCATGCATTCTAAACATCTAATTCTATTTGAATCACATATATTTTTAATCAGATAATCATATTCAAATATTTCATTAGCTAAAACATGTTTAGTAACAGCTGTTTTTTTATGATAAACTTAGGTAACAGGAAATGACATCACTTTTATTTAATTACATTTTTTTGAAAATTATAATTACAAGTTCCTTTGAAAAATTACTTGTAGGCTTTCTGCTTTAAATTTTTTGAAGAATTACATCTTATTAATATATTTTTGTAATATATTTTTTGAATATCCTGTGTATAAAAATAAGATAGTATAACTGTTGAATGTGAATTTATAAATCCAAATAAAAATAAAACAACTCAAATATAAAATTAAAATGTAAATTTAGTAGTTTCATAGATCAAAACTCCATGTTTTTAGAATTTATCCTATTTTGTATTTAGAAAAAAAGTTAAAAAGTTATATACAAAAACAAGTTATTCAAAATCTATACAATATTTTTAAAAATAAGACTTCTATTGAAACTATTTTAAACTTTATATTACATATAAAAATTTTAAATATTTAAAAAAAATTCTCAGTTAATAGTTGCAAAAGGAATATATACATTACTAAAGCATATCATGAACCAATTTTATTATTTTGTAAAAATAACTAACAGTGGTAAAAGTAATGATCTGTATATTGGATTTATTAATCAGTCATTACATTTAAATAATTAAAAATAAAATTTTTGACAACCATTTAAGATAGAATTTGAAATTTTCAAATAATCTTAGAAAGCTCAACATACATTTAAAATCAAATGTGATTTCTATCAAGAAAGCTTTAACCTTCCATATATTTGAAGAATATAATTTAGAATAATATTTACATTATTTCTGATGTTAATAATTAAAGTTTAATTGTCAAAAGTTAAGTTTTGTTTTAAAGTTTAACTTTTATATAAGAAATTGTACTTCATTTTCACAATTCGTTTTAACTAAACAATTAACATTTATATATTTACTTTTGCAACTGAAAAATGTCTTTGTCTTTATAAACTTGTATCTTATCAGAAAGAAGTCACATGATAGATTTACTTAACTTTATGTCTATGACTAATTTGATTATAGGTCTCTACTATTGACTCATAATTAAGAAACTCTTAAACAATATGCAGTTGAATCATATTAGTTTACAAATGATAGTGAGCAATCATAAAAGTAGATAGGGTAAAAATAAACTGCAATATGTAGCAAGCAATTCATGAAACTTTAATTAAATTCATTACTTTGATACACTGTATATAAAGCTTTCTATGGAAAGAAATGACTTTTATTTGCATCTATAAATTTTACTTAAATTTAATAAAGTTAAAATTATATTTTGTGTCATATATTTAAAAACAACATACTTATGAATGAATAACTTCAATATAAATTTAACCTTTAAAAAAATAATTACAGTATTAATTTATATACAGAATATAATACATGAGGTATATTAGAAATAATAATAATCCACCTGGATTCAATCTCAAAGTAGCCTAATGCCTTAATCACCTCATCCAACAATAATTGAAATTAAGACAGCTCTCTTTTATATAGAAAAATTAAATTTTAATAATAAATTTTAATTATAAGTTCTATGATATTATCATCATTACACTTAATTGGATTAATTTCTATTATACAAAATAAAAATGTATGAATTAGTACTTCCAATAAGTGACCTATGACCCAGTCACATGGCTTGACTAGTTAGTGACCACAAAAATAACTATAGTGAAATTCTGTTAAAGGGTATACTGGAATGTTGAGCTTATCTTTGGCAGGTTATCAGTGCACTGGGTAGTCCAGAGTTAAGATTTTTATGTAAAAACACTCAAAACGTGCATTCTTGGAAAAGTATGGTCTGCTTTTAGAAGTGACAAATGCCAAGATAAAATGATGCTGTGCTAGGCAAAACCAATTAGTTCATGCTTGATTTTTCTGAAGACATTAGAGCATGAGTTTAATATGAGAAGCAGAAATATTTAGTACATTTAGAATCAATAATTACACATAAACAGCTATAATGCACTACTGTTCATGTACTTTGATAATTAGAGTTTATTTGTACTTATACATAATGAAAGTGCATAAAGCACAAAGTAAGAATATAGTGTTCTTGTTTCAAACTAACAGTAGGAACAGACTGGAAAAATTAAAATGGCATGTTAAACAATCATAAAAGACAGATTTTTACAAATTTACATGCAAAAATATATAAAATTGTGTCCAAGAAATTAAAAAAAAAAAAAAAAAACAGAAAAACTTTCATCATCCAATAAAGTGGTATATTCAAAAACCAGCACTACATCATCCCAACAATGCCACGTTAATGGACTGTCACATTTTATAACACTAGCAAATATATTTTTAAAAATTCAAAAAAATTAAAATATTGTAAAAGACATTTGGACAAGAAAGATATTCAGAGATCAAGCAAAATATGAATTTCACTCTTAAGACTCGTTAGAGAGTTAAGATTTTGAGAATTAGTTTTGATAAATATACAATTTGATCAACATTTCTCTATAATGGACAGTTTTATATATGAAATAAATAATATACTTACATATGTATAATGTTTGTTTTAACATCTACATTTTCTCACTTCTTTCACAAATAACTTGAATAACTCTGAACTAACAATTTTCTCATTCTCTTTGATGTGCTGTTGTTCATACTTTCTACCATTATAACACAAATCAAGAAGCAATAAGCCAATGACATGCTTTCTTACTGGTTGTGTTACAATTGAATAGAAACTTGAAGAGAAATGAAAAAGTTCAATAATTTCAACTTCATGTTCAGTCAACTTTCTGCCCAACTGATAGCATAAAAAACTAGAATAAAAATTCCTTTTTTATAAAATAAAGTCTACAATACCAACCAACAGTGTTCCTGTACAATAAGTTTTCCATAGCAATTCTGTGCTTACTTCCAAAGAACTAAATAGAGAGAACAAGAAACAATCAAGTATTAAAAACTGGAAGTTGAGTCATTCCACCCAGTATAGAACAACATTCTTTTAAACAGCATTTTACCAACAAATAAATGTTAAAACCATTACATCAGTAATTGACATAAAACTTAAAATCAAGTTTTATGATAATTACATTGGTGTATAATCAGTATATTTAATATTAAATACATAAAATTATAATAGAAATAAAAGACAAAGATTAACTTCATAAAAAATTTTCTAGAATTTGGAATTTAGCCAAGTTTGGATGAGTTATTATCCTATATATTCCAAATTAATAAAAAATTTTTTCACAGAAAGCCCTTAGTTATGATCAAAATACAGTATACTACAGCTAGATATCTTTACTTAATCATGACAAATTTCTAGAAATTAGCTTCAGATTATATTCTATTGTTTATTTATATCTGTCTTATATAGTCAACAGGTCAATAATATTTATTAATAGTTTATTATAAGTGTGTTTACTTGTGAAATATTTCTGTAAATATAATAATATTCTATTGATAAAATAATGGTATTTTATTTCAACATGTGTTTTCAGATTCTATAAGTCTTATAATTTTTATAGTAAAATATCAAAACTCTAGATAAAATTGAAACTGAAATATCAAAACTCTAGATTAAGAAAAGGAAATTCTTTTTCATTCAAAATGATAGATGTTTCTTGACTATAAGGTCAAGAGACATCTATCATTTTAAATAAAAAAGTTAAGAAAAATTTCAAAGTTCAAAACCATCTGTATAAATGTATATTGAATCTTTTTCTAAAAAATAAAAGTAAGTCATAACAATAAATTTTAACAATAGTAACAATAAGTACAGATAAATTTTTCAGAATCACTTGTATATAAAATCAAAGATGGAAATAACAGTGACCTTTTATTTTCATAAAAACTATTTTTTACAAAAACAAAGAAAAAACTGGCAGATAATTCAAATTATCAATATTAGTAACTCTTAAATTTATTAAGATAACAGTATTATAAACAAAGATATCAAAATCACTTGTAAATAATAATATGTTTAATATTAGTCACTGTCCTTATATTTGTTAAACAATAATTAAACAAAGAACTGAAAATTTTTGTAACTACTGAAGTTTCTAATTTCTATTACCAATCGACATACAAACATTATCTGTGGTATTGTTTTATTAAATTATTTTAATAAAACTTAATGACAGTAATTTGACATTAAATTTCATAATCTTTCAAGTTAACACAGAATATAGAAGCAAGATTATAGCAAATTTGGTACATTTTTTACGACTTCCGCATAAAGTTCTTAGCATACACAAAATTCAACTTCAAAATATTTGCTTTCTATAACAAATTTATACTCGTATAACTAATATAAAAATATCTTCTTAAAGAGTTCACTTGTATTATTTGGACCTTGACTGCAACTATAAATAATAAATCTATAACTTTTCATCAATTCACAAATAGAACCTTTCAAGAAAGCTAATAATAGATATATTGTGTATTATATAAACCATGTGTTACCTCTTGTGTAAATGTATTATAACCAATGTATTAAATTCATAAATTAACAATAATTTAATAGAAAATAGATTATTGATATTTTCATGTTATTTAAATATAATCAGGAATTGATGTTTTGTAGATTAAAGAATTTATTGATATTTAAGATTAAAAAAAGGGTATAAAAACTTACCTTCTGATAGCTTTACTTGCTCTATCCATTTATTTATCCTTATTGAATATAAACAGAAATGGTGACTCCTACGTAAAATAATGAATAGACCAAATGACGTTCATCTGATCTGGAACATTTGGAAATTGTTAATTGACGAAATAGAAAAAAATGAATTCAACTGATGACTTCATACTGTGTAATTTTTCACTAACTTTAACATTAAGCCTAACGTCTGATAAGTCTTTCGCAAAGTAAAACACGTAATCCACTATGTCACTTATTACTTTACATTCTTTAACCATTACATTATACTACTTTTTCCCCTTTATAATCAAATGTATTGTTTTGATTAGAAAAATAAACTTATCTCCTATTTGATTGTTTCCAATTATCATCTAACTCTTTCGTATCACTGAACCTTTAATTCAGTGTTGCCAGATAGTCAATTTTTTTAAAATAAATCTTTATTATTTTTAAATCAATGTGATTGATTTCAATTTTTATATATATTTTAATTCATAAGAATATTTTAAAGTTATTTTTATGCTACATTTTAATTTATTTTTCGTAATTTATATATCGTATCATCGGGTGACTTGCAGATATAAAACTTTATGAATCGTCTCGTTAATTTTGACTTTTAAGTTCATTTTTTAGATGAATTTTCTTTCGAAAGTTAAAGTTTTATTAAGCAAAAATTGTAAGAATATTAACTTCGTTGTGAATTCATAGAATATTGTGAAGATACGTAATAGGATATTGTATACCATCTATGCAACTTTACACCAATATTATACTGTATTCCATTTAATATACAATATATTAATCATCAAACCAAATCAATTCTGTAAAAATTAATTATTTAATTAATTGTACGGAATGATTTAATTATTATTTTCTTAAAATCCTAACAATTTTTTACAAAATTGTTAGGATTATATCAATAATTATATGTAAAAATTACAGTATTGTAAACTTTCGATTGAAAATAAATAGATTTTTTTCAATTAAAATAGTTCATTGAATAATTAAAATTTTCATTGTTCAATTCGTAATGATTTTCTTTCTACGTATGTACTAAAAAAACACTGTTTATGATATAGAATAAAATCTATACTAAAAACGGCTCCTTCTGATGTTTCATTAGACCACTTGAAATTCAATATTATTCGTTAGACGGCCGGATGGCCGAACGATCAAGGTGGCAGCCTATCGCTCTGGAGGACCTGGGATTGAATCTGAACGGATCAAAGAATCCCCAAGAATTTTTCAGGGGTTTGGTCCGTCCGGATATGTTGAGCCCCATCCCTCACCACCCGGTCTCCCGTTATGAACCTGGCCAAACCCATAATGGGCTTTCTAAGAGAGTTAAAAAAACTCTTTTCCACAGGGTGAAAAGAGGAAAAAAAGTATTGTTCGTCGAAGTTTTCATAATTCTTTTATGATAAATATTAAAAACATGTTACATGGTAAATGAGAAAAAACTGTTTTATTTTTAAAATGTTTAATAACTGATTTTTGTAATTAATTCTGTTAAAACATCTATTTATTTTTAATTGCAATAATTTTTATACTGTAACTGTACTGTACATGCAGCAGAATTGTCAAGATTATATGGAAATACTAATTAAATAATTCCATTAAATTAATTAATTAATCAATCGATTTATGGACTAAGGCAATGCAACTAATCGCAAGAACGATCTGTTTCGAAACTGTACACGAAACTGGTCTCTATTTACGTTAGATGTAAGACGTGTGAAGAAAACTTGGAAAACGTCAACTTAGCCCATTAATCGAGCAGGAACCAACTTCCAGTGTTCAGTAATTTATCTATTTGGCTATATATATCTAATGAGCACTTTCATAATAGTATTGAAAAATAACCATAAATCAAAACACAATCAAACTGACACAACCAACATCAAAACCGTAGCATGTCACAAATAAGAACTTGCAATTGCAAACAAACTTCAAAGTACTAAATATTTTCAATTTTTAAGCGGCTTATAGACATAATATAGATATAGGTTTATAGATATAATAACATAACAGTTGGATGGATGACGTGTCTAAGGCAGGGGTCGGCAACCTGCGGCTCGCAAGCCACATGCGGCTCTTTGGATGTGAAGCTGCGGCTCTTTAGTTCCATACGCAAATATTTTTTTTTTTTAAAAAAAAAAAAAAAAAAAAAAAAAAAAAACGTTTAAAAATCGTTCTGAATCGATTAACGAGTATTAGACACTGATTCTATCTGTCAGCCACTTGTACTCGCTTTTCACCGCACCCCTCCCCCGTGACACGCGTCGTCACTGTCGTCAGTCCGTCGGAAGCTCTCGAATGACGCCGTCGTCGGATGTTTCTATTATCTAATTTGTTGTGAAAAACACTACTTATATATGAATAAATAGATATTTTTTCTTATGAATAAATAGATTAGTTTTTTATCAAAAAACTTTATTTATGCTAGTACTATTTATTGTTGGCAAGAAAAAATTTTGTGGCTCTTTAAAAACTTTGAAATTTTGTAAATTGTAATTTTGGCTCTTCCGACTCAAAAGGTTGCGGACCCCTAGTCTAAGGGAACCTACTAATCTGGAAGAGCCGAGATCGAATCCGGACGAACAACCCAGGAATTTCCGTGGACGTTCTATTCCGATGTCGGGTTATGTCGGGTTATTATGTCGGGTAATTATGTCGGGTTATGTCTCTCACCACTCGGTTTCCTCTATCTTGGGTCTGGTCTATGCACGATACTCTTTCCTGCCCTAGCCTGGAAAAAGGCCATCTTAATGCCTGTAGGGCGAAGAGTTAAAAGAAAAAGTGTGCAATTGAATGTCATAATTTCGATAATAAAAACTAAAACATTTCAGAGATACAAAATACAGCACAAACATTATGAAAAATTGATCGTAATGGATTGGCTATATCTTTGATACTAAATAGTTTCAGTGGTCCTGATCAAAAGTATTGTGAGATCCAGGGATACGATTTTGTAAAAATCGTTGCTTAGATCTAAAAAAATTATTTTAATAAATTTTAGCAAAAGAGAAATTTTTGGAAAAGTGACGAGAAAGTGGCAAGATTTTGTCAATGATAATACTTCCCTTTCAACGGCATCTCTTCTTGAGATGGTTATTCACCCGAAAAAAAAAAAAAAAAAAAATTGGGATTGGATAACAATAGAGTTTCCATCCGATATTGCCTTTTTCGGAGACGCATCGACATAGGAAGCAAACCAAACCTTAAAAAAAGACAAGAAAAAGTCAAGAATGTTCAGCCGCTTCGGTGGAGACTAGCCGTCTCAACCACTTCAGTCCGAATAGCCAGATGGCCGAGCAGTCAAGGTGGGGGCCCAGTTTGGTCGCTCAGTCCCCTGCTCCGGGGGACCGAGAATCGAATCCGGACGGTTCGAAAAAATCCCCAGGAATTTTTCAGGGAGTTATTCGACCGGATATGTTGGTCCCCGTTCCTCACCACCCGGCTGCTTATTGTGGGTTTGGCCGAACGCATAATGACCCTCTTAGTGCCACAGGGCGAAAAGAGAGAGAAAAAAACACCTCAGTCGTCCAGTTCAAGTAGTCCGCTGATCCAGTCCAGCTCGCCGGATGTCTATCCCAGTTCCGGCAATCGTCGTCTATTCCCTCGTTTTCTTTGCCAGTTTAATCCCGATTGTCGCCTTTCCATTCCAATCCTTGTCTTGCGTCAAATAATTATAATCATTGAAGACAGAAATCAGCTTCATGAGATAGTTATCAGCTCGCGATCGAATGTAACACTCTCTCTCTCTCGCGGAAATAGTTCACAAGAAAGTCTTGAAACCTTAATGGGCGTCAAAGATGAAAAAAACAGCATAATTCGCGCACGTATTTTAAGACCTAATTCTTTTTCATCTCAAAATTTAAAATTATATGTCCCAACAGAATTTCTTTTCGACCATTATCAAATATCGCAGGAGTGACTCTCTTCAGAGAAGGGCGCTTTATACACTAGTTTTAAAAATAAATAGTATGGTATGAACCCAAAATGCACAAGAATCAAATTTCGCATATATCGTATAATGAATGATTTCTCCACAGAAAAATTTAACTAATGTGTCGAAATCAATAACGTTTTAAAATATATTTTTATATTTTGAAACAAGCAATCTAACAATGTTAGAAGCAATACGAAATCCTCGAACATGTAGTGAGATACGTATATGTTACCGCTAAAGCTCGAAAGTCGTTAATGTGTACATTTCCTAGCTAATCTGCAGATTAACTAGGGTGATCCGTTAAAGTTGTGAAAATTGTTCCATTTCTCAAATTACCTAGATAATGTGCAGAGTATCTAGGTAATTTGCACATTACCTACTAGGCACTCGGTAAAGTGAAAATAAGATCTTTGCCACAAATAAATGTACCACAAATAGGTGTGCTTGTCGCAAAAACCAATTGCTATGAAATTCAAAGTGTCACCAATCTTTAGACTGCACTAATAAGTAAGCACAATTGGATAATGTTACCTATGGTGAGTAAAATGGCGGCTCGTCTCTGATTCCAGCAAAGAGAAGAAAGGAAACAGTGGGGACGCACGTTCAAACATAACCTAACCTATTCTAATAATTTGGTTGGTAATAATTATAGTAATTTATTAGAATAGGTTAGGTTAGAACGTGCGTCCCCACTGTTTCTTTTCTTCTGTTTGCTGGAATCAGAGAGGAGCCGCCATTTACTCACCATAGGTAACATTAACTGCACAATTATATCATGTGATCACCAGAAAAAGTATGATAACTTTATTATTTTTCTCCGGTCCAAAAGTAGGGTATCGTTGAAGTCCTCTCGGTCCCCTCAGTTCAGATAGAAACTCAAAGTCCCGAAATTCCATAGGTGGTTATCTATATAATAATTTCCCTAATCGTATTAATATTTTAAACCGTTTGATTTTTTGTATGTTTTTTAATTGGTTGATGATTGATTCTATCAACTAATTTGTTGATTGTTTGATTGTTTTAACTTCATTCTTTAGATATCGAAAATTAAATAAATAACATTATGTTAATTTAAGCGTACATAAACGTTGCTGTTGTTCCAGCAAAGATCTTATTTTCACTTTACCGAGTGCCTAGTAGGTAATTTACAGATTACCTAGATAATCTGCACATTACCTAGGTAATTTGAGAAACAGAACAATTTTAGAAACTTTAACGGATCACCTTAGTTAATCTGCAGATTAGCTAGGTAATGTACACATTAACGACTTTCGAGCTCTAGCGGTAACATATACATACAGTTAGAGATCTCTAACTACGTGTTTGACGATTTCAAAATAAATTTTTCGATTAATAAACTTTAAAATCAAGTTTTATTGAAATCTTACTGATATATTTATTATTTTTAATAATACCATAAAAGTTGATATTGTTTTTAAGT